ACTATGCTTTAATAATAGACATAACACTATATTTTAACTCTTATAAAGTTTGCAAACTCATACTTTCATTGCTTTATATTACTAATCTATTTACTTGCTATATATATCAGTTTTTAGAAAAATAATTAAGATATAAATAAAATAGATTAGCATTATAAACTTTTTAAAAATGATTTATTTTTACCAAGTTTAATATATTGTAGATTATATTGGTTAAATTGAAACACCTAAACATATCTCCTATCTAACTTCCGAATTACCTGTTAATTATCAAACTACTTTAGTATATTATAAAGTTAAAGATGTAGTTTTTAAATTTTTATGTTATAACTTCTGTGAATTCATATTTGTGGCGGCAAATTCATTTTTGTGCACTCTTGTAATAGCAAATCATTACTTTAATAAGACTTTATTATGATGAGATAATCTTCAAAATTAGCTAATTACAATAAAACCTACTATACTAGCCTAGATAGCATGATTAAACATGTCTAGTAGCACTCTGCTCATGTTGATAGCTCTTTATCAATAGACCTTATAGGCTTACCACAACAACAGCAAAGACTATTTTATATATTTAACAATTCTTAACTAATTGATAAAGAAAAAAAAACTGCCTTAGCTTTAGATAAATATATCTAACTCTAGTTTTGAATAAACTTATTGCAAGAGCTTCAAAGGTTAGTATCCAAGGACAAGCCCCTTTAACAACAGCTCTACTAACAACAACTGCCTCTATGCAATTGGTAATGACTTCTACAGGTTTGAAGCTATATAAAATAATGTTAAAAAAGTATCTATTTTTTGATTATATGAAGTTCAAGTACATGTATAATATTTAATAGTTTTTAAACCCTCAGGCTGTCAGGACTAAAAGAATACAATTATGGTAGATTACCAATTAGACAGTTTAAAAAATTATTAAAAAACTGCCATACAAGCCCAGTATATTAACTAAGCTTTGGAAAGCTGTTGTTTTTAGCTTATATATAAAACTTCAGGATTTTTTTTTTTTTTTTTACTTTGGCGTATTTTGCCAGATATTTATTTTAGTAATTAATTCATATGTACAAATGATGCTAGCTAACTAATATAGATGGTAAGTGATAAACTCTAAGCTTGTCAGCAAATAGCATATGAGAACTATTTCTAAACGACAGGTGCTGATACCATAGAACTAATAATTACTGAAACACCTGACCCCACCCAGTTGCTTTACTAAGCTCTAGATGTAATAGCCGCATCACTTTTGTTGTGAAACCGCACCAAACCTCAACATTGAAGCCGGTAACTAACTTTTTGCTAGGGTACATGTCTCACCTATATATTCACCCAGGCTTTGGTAACCTACCACCACAGCTTGATCTATGCACTCGGAGTCAGGGCTAACCATTGAATGACTATCTAACTAGTACCAATTATGCTGCCATAACCAAGTTTGTATCTCAAGCCACCCCTAAGGGTGCTGCCACAACCCAATCCGACAAGCACAATCTTTTTAATTAGACCTGTTACCTACTTCTGCTCTTGTATAGGTTCACAACAACTCTGGTACCCGCATTTAGACCATATTCTTACCCGGATTCTTTATTGGTCTCTTCTTTACTTCCAGCTAGCAACTCAGAAAGGTTGGTCTGCTCAGGCTTTAGGTGCCTGAAGGACGCCCTTCCCTTGGTACATACTTTCGGAGTGTATGTCCTTTTCCTCTGGTGTGACAACCCGGCAGTTTAGCTAGTGTGTTCTTCACCATTAGGATCTGGTCGCTCGGTTCTCTAATCTCAGGCCCCGGTTCGAATTCAGCCCTCTTGTGATATCATCGTAGATCACTGCTACTCCTAACTTGGGACTTCCCAAATGGGTTTTCAGTTATGCCAATTTTTCAGATTTATTACACTATTGCTCCCATTACTAGATGATATAACCGAAGTTACAAATTAGATCCAACCGATAAGCATAGCCGTTAACAGAACACAAGCCTAATTTTCAAAAATTGTCATTTATGGAATTCGAACTCTAGATCTGCCACTTGGAGAGGGTAACGACTAGACCACTACACTAAGTCACCACACCTCTTTAAAACTCCAGGATTTTATATAAAAGAACTTAATGTATAATATAAAAAAAGACCTGTTTTGCAGTCTGCTAAAGGTGGCACTGTTTTAATAAAAAAATAGCCAAAGTATATAGCTTTTATAAATATCTTTAATTGGTTGCTTGCTTTCATGTCTTATATGGATATCATCCTTGTTATCTATAAGAACAAAAAACAGGAGTTGAATTAGTATAGAGACTATAAACAAACTGTGTTTTATATAAAATTTCAAGTAGTAGTAGTTTATAATAAGAACCAGAAAATTATATTGGTTCCAAATCATGACTCTTCTCTCTATGAACTAGATACAGAAGTTAAATGAAAAAATTTTGATATAACTATAGCAAAAGACAGAAAACAATATATATTAGACTACATGTTTCAATATTAGTTAGCCTGATAAAAAAAAAATATACATTAACTGGAACAATTGGCACTGTATAGATAAAAAGGTCTGTGAAAAAGTTTATACTGGTTTAATCTGTAGAAGAACTAATCACAATAAGCAACACTGTTTCAAGAAAAACAAATCTTTCTGATAGTAACAAAATAAAAAAAACACATATACAATAAATAATAACAAGTTATTGTTTTTATAACTGCTTCCAGTCTTTTAAAAACATTTCAATAGCCCAAATACAGATGTATATACAAAAAAAATTAACAAATTACTTAGTACACAAATTTTATATATTTAACAAAAAAACAATTTCTAGTTAAATACTACATATAAGCAAACAAATAAAATGATAGATGCTATTATAGAAAAAGAAAAAACCTAATAAATAAACAATAATAACAATAATATATATATATATATAAAGAAAAAAATAGATATATATTTAAATAAATACAGCCTTGATAGCTCTATTAGTATAGAATAGTCTATTATTAAATAAACCTCATGCTATACTATAGGCTAATTATTTTGACTTTGTATGCTAATTCAGCTTAGCAACTACTATTCAAGCACCTGTTACAATACAAAGTAGCAAGAAGTATCACAATAAATAAGCCTCCTATGCTACAGTCAGTCAAATATATATTTATTGTTATTCCTCTATAGAGAATACTTTTAATAGCAATTAAAACAAATATTTTGGATATTATCTTTAACATACTACTTTAATTAATATAAACAACTTTAAGTATTTTATACATGCCTATCCCAATTAACTATTTATATCCTATCTTCTTGAGAGTCTCAAAAATAGCTTTTATTTTAACTTCATTAGTCAAAGAACTACAATTATTCAAGAGAATCTTAAATTAATAGAAATAGACCTTTTATCACTTGCTAGATATATCCAAGAGGAGCTAAAGCTTAAATAAATATGTAGCCTTTTCTCAATACAACAACCACTATGTCTAGCATTTCAAGTTAATCTATATAGTTTTATGGAGAAAAAAGACAGACTCCAAGATTTATCAGGTTATATTACATCTCTTAGCCTCTCTTGAAGCAAGTGTGCCTTTGACAATCAGGCTTTTGGAGCATTTTAAACATCTCATTCAAATCTTCAAAGCTTGAGAGCCCAAGTACTATAATTATATTTCTTGGAATTCAAATAGATACAAAGGCACTCTCAGCAACAATTCCTCAGACAAAAGATATAAATTAGTTACCATGTTAAAGCAATGGTTAGACAAAAAATAGTTCTTCAAAAAAGAGTTTCAGTTCTTGATTGAATTAGTAATATGGGTCTACCAGGTCCTCTCACAAGGTTATCCATACATACAGTGCTTTATTAAGCCTCTTGGCATATCAGGTATTTCCAAGTCACATATTAAAATCAATAGTGCAATAAAATTTAATATTAGGTGGTGGGTTGCAATGTTTTCAAATTGGTTAGGCAAACACCTAATAGAGAACCAAAACTGGCTCAGCCCAACCACGCAAAATCTATTCACTAATGCTTCCAATCTGAAAAGTGGCACAGTATATAGGTCATATTTCATTACATTTAGTTGGTCTCGGGATATTAATTTATCCCAACACAGCATCAAAGAGCATGAACTTCTCATATCATTTATTGCTATAATACCATTTTCACCAATTTGAACACAGAAATAGCTAATTATTTGAATTAATAATCAAGCGAATACCAAGGCTATCTATACAGGTTTTGACAAGTGGCCTGTAACTAATGATATTGTAGTACAAATATATCAAGCCCAAATTTACAGCAGCTTCTCACTCAAGTTCGAGTATATACCTGGCAAGGCAAACTCTAATGCAGACTTACTCTCACAGAATAGCTATAGAGAGCTTTTAAGCAAAAGCCTCTTGTCTCGTTATTTACAGCCTGTAATTTTCTCAAAATATGCTTATCTAATTTCTACTATACCCTCACTAACTCAATAGAGCAAAACAGCAAAGTCTCCTCCATACCTGAAACAACAAACAAACAAACAAGCGGACCCACTGGCTACCTCCACCCAACTATTAGACCAACAGGCCACATCAATACTTGGTCTAAATGTAAAGACAAACAAATCATATGAATCTGTAGTGAAGCAATATGAAGCCCTGGCAAGAGACAAGAACTAGCTTAATCATCAAGGCCAGATATGGCCAATAGTAAAGAAACACCTATGCATCCACACAATGAACCATTTCAATTGTGACAAAACTCACAAGGACCTAATTATTGAAAACTATTGATAAAAATCACTTTCATAAACCTATTAAGCAGCAAACACACATTACAAGGGTTCACTTACGGGCCATCAAAGTGGAACTAAACTTGTGCGAGCCAGATGACATACTCATCTGGGCAATAGCATTAACAACCTTTTATGGGCTAGCTCATTTAGGAGAGCTCCTTCCAACAACACAGCAGGACAGGGACAAGGTGCCGGTCCTTCAAGCCTTGAGATTCGAAAAGGCTGATGACCATACTTTTGTCACCATCCAACTAGCACGAACCAAAAACCACAAAACTGCTGAACGTCAATCTCTCATCATCAACCCTACATACGACGACTTATGCTCAGTGGATGCCTTAAAGGCATATGTGGTCCAAAAGATTTGGCTCGACGACCAGGAACACAAGTGAGCTACTGTTCGTTAGGTCCGATGGTTCTTGGGCAACCAAACGCCAATTCAAACAACTATTACCCACGGAGGATGTTGCCGGCCACAGTTTTAGAGTTGCAGGGACAACTGAGTTAGTTATGCGTGGAGTCCAACTCATATTAGTTCAGAAGATTGGTAGATGGAATTCAGACTCCTTTTACAGGTACATTCGCTCCCACCTGGCCACAATAGCGGCAATACTGATCAAGGCATACTGTAATTGAGCCGCTCTCACTTTAATAGTTTATTAGGGTCTTCAAGCACCCCAATTACACTATACCAACCGAGAAGGGCTTTCGCCCCACATTGACAAGACAAGTGAAGTATGAACGCCTCAAGCAAGCAAGTAATGTAATGAAAAAATAAAAATAAAAAAACAACAATCAAAAAAATAAAAAAAGTATGTATATATTATTTTAACAATAACAACACATGCACGCAATATGTACTAACAATGCAATGAGATATATTATCAGCCGCAAAAAGGCAACAATGCCAAAACACACATGTATCTGCACAACCACGTCCCAGACGTCAATAGTGGACAGCCCATAGGACAATGGCAAACTCAGGACTAGGG